ACCGAGGTGACTGAAGATGAGCTGTTTTTGTGAATTGTTTATCTCTCTTGTCCTGTTGTACAGTCCTCCCCAAAAGCCCTCAGTTGAATTTCTATGGTTTCCAATAAGAGAATCGACGATTACTTACCACGAAAATGTGGATAAGAAAACAAAAGTAAATGATATCAACTCTAAATCTATCCCTAGGTGTAAACCAACTTTAATCCTCACCCTAAGCCTAAACTTAACACTAACCCTAATTACAACCTTTATCCTAACCGTAAACCTAATCCTAATGCTAATTATAACCCTAATCCTAACCCTAACGAGCTATTAACACATTGTCAAAACAGTACTTAAAAACGTAATCTGGGTGAAATTTGCTCCTTAGTTGGTGAATGGCGTTGGTATTTCAGCTATGATAATGATAGGTGCCGTTAGCCAACGACTAGCATGTGTTCAAGGTCATTGGAGTGTTCGCACTCCTGGAACGCTATTGTTGAACTTCGCCGGATGACTAAACACCAATGATTCTTAACTCTGCTTACTTCTAATTTATAATATGAAGCATTTGTGTTATAAATACTATCTATTTCAATAACCTCTGAGTGTTTCAGTTGACTGTAGTCACAGAGCTAATGAACACTTTATTGCAATTTACAGTTGATCATTTTACACAATGAATCAACTTTTTCACCTGAATTTACATACATTTAGACTGACTGAAAACATTTTGTCTAATAATTATATCTGTTTTCTTGATCTAAAAAAATGACAATGGATCAACAACAGTTATCCTGTCATCAGATTACTAAAAGTCACAAATGAACTTATTGATTTCTGATAATGTTTAGAATTGCTAATTCATTTAATGTGATTTGTGCATTTTTGTTTTCTTCTCTGAATTCCAAAATAAAAACTTTAAGTAACATCTTTAGGGTTTTAAATAGATATAAAGTCATAGAAGAATATAAGTGACGAATATTCCTTACAAGTTTAATCATGAACATTTAAAGCTTGTAAATACTGGACATCTGTTTCGTCCTAGTCTGAGACTTTTCAGTGGAACAGACCCATGATCCTACAGCTAACACAGTGAGCCTACTAACTATTCAGCCACTGGAATGGAATTCAACACGACCATGAATTATAATTCTGGTGTGAAGATAAATACTGACCGATTACAGTGGCTAGTGATGGTGCTATATGTCGAGAATTACCAGAGGTGAGAATTCATGGGCTAATAGATTCCGTCCTTGAGACTGAATGGTCAATGGGATGAAGGTCCTAGATTCCATCCCTGGTAGGCTCATAGTTGCCTTCTGCCGAAGAGACCAAGACTAGAATGAGAAAGATGGTCAGTACTCCCTAGTTTCCAATGATTCCCTAACTGATGTCAGATATGGTCAAACTGGAAAACCAATCAAATCCCTACAAACTAATACTTGAAAATATTTGTTGTGTGGAGAGTTAGAGAAAGTAATTTGATGTTTATTATTTACTAATATTTTTCACATCTGTGTCATTTTATAAACAAAAGAGCAACAACAGAGGCATTTACTTCAAAACGGGCATATATATATCACCCCTAACTGTTATTATTATTATTGTTTTCTTTAATTCCTGAGGAACATAGGGCTTCAGCCGTGCGTCTCCATTGAGTTCGGTTCTCTGCTAGAGTCTTCACCTGGCTTCAAGTCTGCCCACACGCTTTCATCTCCTCTTCACATGACCTCCTCCAAGTCACCCTCACACTGACGACCAACTCGCCGCTTCCCTTTCGGGTTCCACTCGAGCAATGGCTTGTCTAGTGATGTCACTTGATGGTTTCCTCAGATGATGGCCAGCCAATCCACCTCCATTTCTTCCTGCCTATTTGTTCCACAATCGGTTCCTGCTTGGTTGGTTCGCTCCCAGAGATCTCTGTTGCTGATCTTTTCTGGCCATCTGATCTTGAGTATTTAGCGAAGACAACTGTTAATGAAGGTCTGTAGTTTGTTTGAGATGCTCTTTATGTCGCGCAGTGCAAGTCTCTGATCGGTATAATAAGTAGCACTGACTTCACATTGGAGTTGGAAATCCGGATCTTATTTTTGATTCCGAGTGCTGTTGACCTCCACACAGACTTGAGAGAAATGAAAACTTGTTTTGCTTTTCCGATTCTTGCTTTGATATCCTCGTCAGTTCCGTCCGCCTGTAGTTGAAAAGATGCTTCCCAGGTAGGGTAGATGAAGGAGATGGCTTCTTTCAGGTTCCTTCCGTTTATGCTGATTGTTGTTTGTTGTCTGTTGTTGTTGTTGCTGGTGGTGGTGTTGCCCAGGAATCTTTATCACGTCTGTTTTCTCTATGTTCACCTGAAGTGAGGTCCTATCTTTGATGCTTCTTCTGCCAACTTGTTGCTTTTCGCTTGCATATCTTCCAGTTTGTGGGAAATCAGACATATCATCGGCGAAGTCCATGTCCTCTAAGTTTTTTGTGTGAGTCCATTTTATGCCTGTTTCCTCATTGCCCGCTGTTTGTCGCATTATCCAATCTACTGCAATCAGGAAAATCATTGGCGATAGTAGGCAGCCAGCTTGTCTTACTCCTATCCTCACTTCGAAGGATTCCTTAAGTTTCCCGTTGTGGACTACTTGGCATGCAGCATTGTCGTGCAGCTGTTGGATGAGATGTATAATTGTCGGTGGCACCCCATAGTGGCGAAGTAGTTGCCAAAGCACCTCTCGATCGACGCTGTCGAAGGCCTTTTCAAAGTCGATGAAGTTGAGATAGAGAGGTGACTGATATTCCAAGCTTTGTTCAATGATGATCCCCTAACTGTTAATCCACCTATTCTCAAGCCTGATGAGGAAGTGTCCATAAACGGGTAGAGAATACCAAACAACGTCAGTCTGCATTGTGAGCAGCAATAAGTCTTAATTAGCGTTGTCCGTATATCTTATGTCAAGTATGAAGTGAAATTAGTCTTCAATATTACCATGAAGTATTTATTATCAGTTGAATTAAATGGTTTAATTTATGGATAACAAGTTTGCACGTAAATTCTGAAAATCAGAAAATATTCTTGCTTCGTGATTGATAAACTGACTGATTCTACAGAAATTCACCTGCTTATTTCGGTTCGGAGCCTTTTTCTGAAAGAATTTGAAGATGATATTACCTGAAAATTTCCATCGGTTGACAGCTATTAGCTGTTTGTAAATCATCAGTGATGTGTGATGTCCCCCTCTTTTGGATAAAATATGGCAAGTTAAACTTTAAGCTTCACTAACTACCAATCAGCGAGTGACCTTGAACGCGCCAATCACAAGAGGGAAGCATTTTTGCTTATGGAATACATATATTTATGGAAAAAAATGCACAAAAACTTGATAAAAGTGCTACAGAAGATATATTTTTCTCACACATGACAAAAATATCTCCCAGTTTAACATAAAAGTATCAATGGAAAAGTTACACCACATTCTATACCTGTGCGTCGGTGGCACAGTGGTTAGTACTCTCGCCGACCATGCACATAGTCCGGAGTTCGATCCCCTGCCAACGCACATCTGATATCTATGGTCGGCCTGCGAAATTTGGGCTATCGATATCACATGCTATGTGAAATCAAGCTTTAATCAAAAATAAATAAAAAGACATCTCTTTGAAATCCATTAACAGCTCTAATCCAGTTTTTTAACCTTCCCCAAAAGTCTTCGATAGAATTAGTGTGAATCCCTGTAATGGAATCCACAAAATCATTAGAATGAATGATTATGTGGTGAATATATCCAAGGGATGACAAGGAGTTATAACCTTTCCACTCATCTGTGTGTATTATAGATCCTTGTTTCACCAGTCGAGTAATAATAGGCATTAAGGTACTTGACTTTCTATCTACTATTCTTTAGACGAATCCTTTATGTAGAGAGATATCATACAAACCAATCACCCAAACATTATTCTCTTGTTCTTGACTACGGTTGCATATTTTCTTTAAGAAGACAGTTTCATCTACATGTACGACAACACCTTCACCTCCCAATAAGGAAGTAAGTCTCTCCATTTTCCAGGATAAGATATCCAGGCAATGCTGATGTTATGTATGAGATATTAGGACCTTGTAGACTACGAGCGAATCTAACTAATGCGCTGGCTAATCTGTCCTAATCGCACGTCAACAACAACAACAATACCGCCGGGCACGCAAGGCAAAGAAAGAAGACTGGACGTTGATACGAGAGCTTTTACTGTCTCTAACAGCAGTCGAAATGTTAAACAAATACTCCGTATTTATACAGTTAGGAAAATCAATGTCACATTTTAAAAATATTAACAAACCATGGGAATTCAGTAATTAAAATCAATAATCTCGCAGATGCGGGAAATCAATGATTATGCAAGTGTGGGGAATAATAATGAATATTAATGAGTCACCTGTGTATATATCAGCTGGTACCAGTGAAATGTTGATACGACACTGTTTTCAGTTTCAGCAACTGCACCTCTCACAAGCTGTTTTCAAACCCAGTAATTACAAATACTTTTTTGATTATAGCTTGATTTGACACCGTGTTTTTGATACAAGTATGGAATTTTCAGCATGTGATATCGGTAGCCCAAATTTCAAGGGCCGACCATTGATATCGGGTGTGCGTCGGCCGGGTATCGAACCCGGGACTATGTGCATGGTCGGCGAGAGTCCTAACCGCTATACCACCGATGCACACAAAATTTGGGTTAAGGAAAGATGAGATCTGTCAAAAAATATTCCTACAAAATATTAGAATCATCAGCTTACCTTCCCTGATTTGAATCAAGCTGAATAGAAGCTTCAACTCACGTGGATTAATTCATTGGACCATTCAAGGTCAATGGCTCGAACGTACTCCGCTGGTAGTTAGTGGTGCTTAAAGTTTAACTTGGCCCTGACATATACATTTGATCAAAGAGTTATAGAATATGTTTTGAATTTTAAGTTGTATATATATCGTACGCATTTATTATGTTTCTGTAGAATACTTTCCTTTTTCATTTAGCCCCTTAGCAGACACAAAAGATGACTGTATGTTATTTTACAACTTATCATCAGCTCATTTGGCAACTTTTATGGATGAACAAAAACAGAAAGCATCCAGTATACGATTTTTATTAGACGATGAAGAATCCAGTGAGCCGTCAATTAAAGATGATTATCATCGTGTTAAAAGATCTCACACTGATTCTTTTTCGCATGAATCACAACATCGTCAATACAATGATGAACAACATATAACTAATCTGGTTAGAACTGAAGCTTGTTCTAGTGATTTTATTGTTCCACAAGATGATCCAGACTCTAGTGATTTAGAAAATAAAGGAAGTATTACAATTTTAACAGTTCGGTCAAATAGAATAACGCCTAGCAGACGATGTAATTCAAGCAGATATCCTTCAAATATTTCAAAATGGATTTCTCTTCCTGTAAGTTTAATTTATATGCTTTTTAGATGGTATTTTAATTCAGCATATGGATGGTTTGTTTTATCTCGCTGTATACTTGAGATCTCAAATGACTTTCATAACCTGAATACTTAGATACGCTGGTTTATTGATATTTTTCAATATCTAGTAAGTTCGATACGAATGAAGACATAATTATCAATATTTCCAATTTTAAGTTCATTTAAAAAGCCCAACAGGCACAACCAATATTTACACTCTGATTGTGAGCAGAACAAATGGTGCTAGCAATCTCATATATCTTAACTGTTAGATTTCCGTCACAAAAAACATCATTTAGAGATACCACTGAAAACTAGGGAGCACTGGACAACTGTCTCGTCCTACTTTGGGACCATTCAGCAATGCACAGCCACGACCTCACTAGGTATCGAACCCGGCAATTTCAGGTTACGTGACTTAGCTCCTTGACCATTCAGCCACTTCAGCAGGAGTCCAGGGACTCTTGAATTGTAACTTCGACAGGTCGTGATATTGTGCTGCTCTCACCACTGTCTTCGATCACCAACCACTTCACTTTGACATGGTGGCTCTCACTGCAGCTTCAGGTAATCCATCCAGTAGTTGTCAGGTAGCTGGCGATCGATACCCAGATAATAGGAATTGTAGGGATTTTGGATCAATTTCAGTTGTTATATTTTCGTCACTAACCAACATAAGTTAGAGAGATCACTGAAAATGAGGAAGCAATCGACAGATGTTTCGTCCTACTTCAGGATTCTTTATAAGTGCTCACCCATGCCCCACCAGGAATCGAACCTGCGACCCTCATATTATAAAATCAAGCTCTTTGACCATTCAAGTATGCTGACGTATACTTTCTAAAACATCACTTATATCAAATTTGCTCTGCAAATAAGAACGTTAGTCTAAGGCTTTCATTATGATAAAGATGCAGAAGGAAAGTGAACTCAAAATGATATTATAAAGGATAAAAATACACTTGAGAGTCATACAGTTTGAAACGACCACATGTAGTCACACTATAAAGTTTTCTAACAAAAATGTCCAGTAAAAGGGTTTACAGACATCCATTGTATCACTTTCTACAGTTACATTAAGATATATGTCTCAATCCCACTGCGATTATTCATTTGTATTATTAAAAGTGCATTCACTCATAAAATCGTGCCATGTTAGTAGAGAGTTATTCAACAACGGAGAAGTAATCACGGTACAGAGAAGTGTTGAAAAGTTTTCAAGTGAAAATACTTGTCTCACTATATATATAAATAAAGTAGGCATATATGATACATAAGACTTCCATGAGCAAATTTGTTAGATAAGACTCAAATCACTATGAAATCCAATTTTCAATTTCTTACCAAATAAACTTATTTTTTTAAGTTATTTTATTCCTTTTACGTTCCTCATGGAACATAGGGCTTCAAGCTACAGGCTTGAAGTTTCTGTAGCATTGGTGTTTATTTTTACGGGATGGAATTACTAGCTTCACGCTCAATCTTCTCTCTTCACCGATCTTATCACCGGCTCAGCTAGGTTTAGGAGTGCATCGGCCGGGGATCAAACCCCAGACCACAGGAGGCGTGGTTGACAAGCATTCTACTGTTGTACCACCAATGCACCAAATAAATAAAAAGCCTAAATAATATTATAATTAAGAAAGACTTTTCCTAATTACATTCATTCTATTTTTTAAATTAAAAACTTTCATCACTTTTTGTGTCCATAAATTTTATAATTTTTTTTCAGGACCTTGAAATAACACGTGAGACAAGTGAATCAGAAATAAAACCATCTGAAGTGAAAGTGATTACAGTACGTACACAGCCTCCTGATACGGGAATAAGAAATGGTCATCAGATCAACGGGACTGATACCCTGGCTAACAATAATACAGTTGTTAATAATCCCTCCACCGTCAGTAACAATCTTTGTAATTATTATAATTACTATGATACTACACCAGATGATGTAAGTCAGTTATTTGTATTTTCCACCGGTATAAATATATATTTTAATATTTTACAACAGTAATGAATATAAATATAATCGACTTTTTCCCTACATTTCACACAGGACAACCATATTTATATATCTGAAACAGTCATAGGAAAACAGAAACAACAAATTAATGAAGCACAAATTGACGAAGAATCTTTAGCAAGTGATGAATACTTACCTGACAGTATGAATATAACACGAACATCACCAATAACAATGTCAGCATCAAAACCAACAGATAGTCAATTATTTATTGATCTAAACAAACTAAAAGATAAAATCGATACCAAAATGAAAATACACTATGATCAACCAGAACTCCTTAAAGTGAGTATGTATAATATGACCTACTATTTTCTTCATTTCATATATTACTCTGTTAAGGTGGATATTTCTCTTTTTTTCATGTCTGTCTTGCTGTCTGTCTGTCCGTTTTCGACATAGAACTTTGCACTAATGTGCATCAGTTCAAGTCGTCACAATCCATGTATCACACAAAGCAAGAGACGAAAGTAGAAGAAATGCATAATAGAGACAGTAGACAGAGATATGAGACAAAAGGAATAGTAATAACGAAGAACAATATAGTTTTATCAGAAGTGGATGCAGCTGCGCCATTGAGAACGATTTTGAGTCATATCATCGATTGTCTCCAGCCATTGGTTTTACCGTCCCGAGGACCCCAACCAGGAAGTCTACACCTTCCTATGTGGCTTAAACTAACTGTTGTGGATTTCATTGACAGGTGATGCCATGTTTTGGTTTGACTGCCGCTAGGTGTTTTCCAGCCTGACCCTATGTCAGCTAACATTGCCCGTCAAGGAAGGCGATGACTAGGCATACGTAACACATTTCCTAACCATCTCAGTCGATTGATTCCCTCCTTACCTTTTTTCATAGTTATTATCATAATTAATTTCAGTGGTAGACTTCTATATTAGCTTCAGCGGCGGGGGTCCAGTAGTGGAGTGCTCCCCAGCCATACATAAAAGATACGGGGACGATTACCAACTGAAGACCTTCTAAGCCTTACCTAGTTTACCCGCCAGTTACAAGCACGAAAAAGAGGGAAGATTGGTTGCAAGACAAACAACTCCACCCTGCAGGAACACGACCATTTCTTCGAAGACTTCAAAAGCTAACAGCCCTGTGTACTCTACAGAACGTATGAGATGGAAAGAAAATTGCTTCATTCATTAAACAAAAGTTTATGATAACTTCTATAACTTGAAGCTAAATGCATGCACAACCACTTTTTATTATTACTATCATACCCAAAGTGTTTTACAACTGATTTTACTAAAGTGCTTTATCTAAATTTTTCCTGAAATAAAGCCGATGTGTCCATGAATACAAACACTAGATATGATTAACGAATACTTACGTAGAAATAAAACTGACAAAAAATCTAACAGTGCAGATTGGAGCACTAAATAAATATTTTCAAGAGTTTGGTTTGTAACGATTAGATTTGTTTATACGAGTTTGACCATTGATTGATATCAGCTAGAGAACCACTGGAAACAAGCAGCGAGTACTGGACAGCCAACTGTTTCATCCTGGTTTGGGAATCATCGGCAGTACGCACCCACCACAGGGGTTCAAACCCAGGACCTTCCGGGTACAAGACAAGCTCGTATACCATTCAGTCACTGGGACCCCATTCAGTGGCCAGTCCATGAATTCTAACTTCTACCAATTGGTGATTTACCGTGACCACCAACCAATGTCATCTGTGGAACATCCATCCTTACACGTAGCATCTGGATGAACCTCACTGGTCACGATTTCTCACTAGAACTCCGAGAAACTCTATCCTGTTGCAATTCACTATCGAGCATCAGATTAATTTTCAAGAGATTGGTTTGTAAGAATGTAATCTGATGCTCGCTAGTGTCTTGCTACACGACAGAGTTTCCTAGAGTTCTAGTGATAAGTCGTGACAAGTGAGGTTCATTCAGTCAAGTGTGAGGATGGATGTCCCACCGATGACATTAGTTGTTGGTCGCGGTAAATCACCAATTGGTAGAAGTTAGAATTGATGGACTGGCCATTGAATCGGATCCCAGTGGCTGAATGGTATAGGAGCCTTGTAACCTGAAGGTCCTGGGTTTGAGCCCTGTCAGTGGGTGCGTACTGCCGACGATTCCCAAACTAGGATGAAACAGCTGGCTTTCCAGTACTGCCTGCTTGTTTTCAATGGTTCTCTAGCTGATATCAATCCGTGGTCAAACTCGTATCAACTAAATAAACATGTTGTGTCTATATAAATAACGTAAAAGTTAAGATTACTGTCTGAAGTATTCTTGAAAATCTTAGAATACTGTAGGTATTTTCTTCATTTTTCAATAGATGCCATTCACCATTGAACACTCTTATTTTCCATACAGTGTATTTGTCTGTGTAGATAATTTAGTTTAAAGAATATGCTTCTTCAGTGTTTCTAATTGTACTTCACAATAGTTGGAATGTATAGTTAACTTTTTGAAGTATTGTCTTCTTGTCTATATAAGGAGGTTTAGCATTTGATCCTTTTGAAAAATGAATGAAAATTAAACAGTATTTTGCATTCTAGAATGAAATATAAATGCTACACTGTAATTATTATTCTGTTGAAATATTTGACATAGTAATGAATACAAATAATTGTTTTTTAGAAAAAAGCCTCAAATTTTTAAAAATATTTGTTATGAACAATGTGAATAGTTATATCTGTAACTGAAAGCCACTAGAATTAAGAAATACTAGTCACTGGCAAAATTACAGAACACAATATAAGCAAATATGTAGTTTCGGTAAATTCTTATCAGGCTTTTAAAGTTACATAGCTGAATTATTAATCAGAAGCATTCGAAACAATGCGGATCAATAGAGCCGAATGTAGTCAAAGTTCAGGGATATGAATTAGAGGATAACAATAGCGGTAATAATAATAAATTAAAAAACTAAGATAAAAATTTTCAAATATAGCACAGCATGGTATTGATAATAAAGTTAGTGGTACAAATAAAACTAATATTTACAGCTATCTGGTGTCACCGGGAGAGATAACTATTCTAGGTAGGAGTTGGAAGCCGTGAGATATAGGGGAATTGAACAAACTTCTTCAAAAGACACAGATATTGGGCTGGAAAATTGTTATGGCAATTGCCTCAGCTATGCTTAGCAGTTGGACGCATACGAACTTAGTGAATTGAGGTAGCACATTGTATAGATTTGTAAAGGCTAACTTTTTATCATTCTTGTGCTCCAAATCCACAAGAAGCGCCAATATGAAAATTCTGGTCGGCTCCACGACTCCTTTACCTAACCACGTTGGACAATGCTCCAGAATACTATGGTGGGTTTTCAGAGTTGTTCTACCTATGTAAGTGTTTCCACATGAACGGTTAAACTTATAAATGCACACTGAAATGGCTATTAAGGTACTGATGAGTTGTCGTTTGTAGGCAAACAGTACAAACGACCTGAAATGGAGTGTATTGGCCAATGTATGCCCTTGAATTCAAACTTAGAACAGTTATCTATTGCGGTGACTCCGGAGAACTCTAAATATTGTTTGTACTGTTGTAACGCCAGAAGAGAAGTGGTCGACTTTTCTATTGAAGAAAATCGCATCATATTTATGTATTTTTAACCACATTAAATTTCGACTAGGTCAGAGGGCAGAAAACTGTGCTGATTAGTTGGCGACTGGCTCAAGATTTTAGCAAAGAGACGAGAAGTCGTCCAGTGAGATGATTTCCAGACCACAACGTAAACTGAATCAAGTTTTGAGGAATAAACACATCTACTGCTGCAGCAGCTATTGACTTAAAATATTGACTTCAATTTCGGCCGCTGCCAACTAGTCTGCATCTTTATATTGCATATGCCACACTGCTAACTTTATCATCAATATTATGCTGGGTTATATTGGTATATTTTAATCTTAGTTTCACGATTTATCATTATTATTACCTCCATTGTTATCCACTAATTCGCATCCGTGAACTTTGACTACATTTGGTTCTATTGATCCACATTGTTTCGAATGCTTCTGATTAATATTTTACCAAGTAATTGTGAAGCCTGATGAGAATTTATCGAAACTACATATTTGCTTAAATCGTGTTCTATAGTTATCATGACGGTAATATTTAAATTGTTTGACATAATTATCGACGGTATGGATGTTATGTGCTTATAAACTCATTTAAACAATTCCCAACGTTGTCTGTGGACTTACTGACATTAGACTGTTGGTAGACAAGGCTTGAATCAGAGAAATTCAGTTTTCCTACAGTTAAGTTACAGTAGTAACTAATAGGAATTGCACATGAGGTGGCTCTCTTAGCTGATTAATCTAGTGCATTACTCTTCGGAGTCCAAAACGATAGTTACCGTGTTCGAGTCTTAGGGGGGAGAACCATCAATTATTAGAATACAGTGTAAAACAAACGTGTATCCTGAAGTTCGATACAGCTAAGGCCAGTCAAATAACATTAAGCTGAAAGCAACGGATCCATACTAAAAGCCCATTTGCTAACACGGAGACAGATGTTTGGTCTATTAAAATTGAATACACACCAAATGCTTCGATAAACAAACCTACAAACTGTGTTTAAATATTCATTCCTGAAAAAAGGTAAAAACTATTAAGATGTCATAATAAACTACCAGTCCAGCGTAGTGAATTCGATAAAGAGCAGTCGCTAATTAGAAAAAAGCATTACACATAATACTACGATGCTTGATCTCTGTCTGTGCTAATATTTATCTGCTTATTATGTCTACATTGCTGAAGAGAATGATGCTTCTTATGAAAATAGCTATTTTTCTAGGCTGAAGACCCCATCGCAAATTTGATCAAGACAATTCGGTCAATAACTATGAAGGAGGGATGGAACATTGGTCTCATTGTTAATTGACACTAAGAGAAATGTGAATCTCTACTTAAATGTAAGGTCAACAGTTACTTCACTTTAAAGCTAAAACAAAGTTAAATGAAATATGCTCTCTGTGAGAAAAAAAAACAAGACTACAATATAGGGGAACTTCTTATCTTTATTAACTTACTGAGGATACCGAAATATTACAAAACCTGAAGTTAGGTTGGGGCGAAATATCCACTCGATTATGTTATTCTTAAAATGATGACTATTTATAACTTGCTACTGGACCATTCTCAGATTTTAATATGCATTTGACTGACTTTAGGTGGGAAATATCAGTAAACATGAATGAAGGAACATGATTAGGTTTATTCATCCCAACCTACACACTGTATAAGGATGCTAACAGACATAATTTGTAAATGCAAAGTCAACGGCTTTCAATTTAAAACTGTCTTCTGGATGATGCTTATTCACAGTAAAAACCCATATCTTATGTGTGTAAACAACAGTTATCAAACACTTCTTATGATAACTGTGTCTCATCCTAAAGCGTATTAAAGACCTACATGCAGATAGTACTGTTATGCTAACAGTAGACTTAGGTTAGAAAGAAATGAAAGATAACACAAAACCACTCGTTTGTTTACGAAAGAAGTAACGTAGAACTTTATACAAGAGTACATCAATTAAAGTTGCTACACTTCAAAAACACGCAAATGTACAATGAAAAAGACTTACTGAAGAAAGGACAATTGAACTAAGATTAGTGAAGCTACTGACTACTCTTCTAAGGCTTTTGGAGAAAATCTAGATCAGTGAAACCAACAGATAGTATTTCATCATGAGCTGACATCGGTTAGAGGACCATTGAAAAACCTGAGAATACTGGACCACCGTTTCTTCCCATTTTGGGACTCGTCAGTGTCACACATTCACCTGGGTTCGAAACCAGGACATTCCGATTACAAGGCAAGCTCATAGAAATTTCAGCCACAAGGACCCAACTCAACGGCCAGCCAATGAATTCCGACTTCTGCTAATTCACTATCTAGTGTGATCACTATTCACTGTCATCCATGGAGAATGTTTGTCCTCACACCTAACCATCTGTACCCTACTGTGCCCTGTAAAATGTAAGATGCTGCTACAGGACTGGACTACGTCAACTCCTAGCTTAGTGATAGGGAGTGAAGTGATAGAACATGTTGACCACTTCACCTATTTGGGAAGTTGTATCACCACCAACGGATTGATTGGTGACGAAATCTCAGCACAGATCCAAAAAGCTCGGGCTGCTTTCGCTAACTTACACCGTCTCTGGCGTAGGCGTGACATCCGACTGTCAACCAAGGGACGTGTATACTGCTCAGCAGTTCGCTCCATCCTTCTCTATGGCTCTGAAACATGGCCGATACGAGTTGAAGACATGAAGAGATTGTCTGTTTTTGATCATAGATGTTTACGATCTCTTTCTCACGTTAGGTGGTATAATAAGGTAAGTAATGTTGACGTTAGGCGTAGAGTGTTGGGCAAAGAGGGAAAATCAATCGAAGAGGCCACAAAGTTACATAGATTGAGATGGCTAGGTCACGTGCTGCGCATGCCTAACCATTGCCTCCCCCAACGGGCATTGCTAGCTGATATAGGTGCAGGTTGGAAAAGAGTAAGTGGTGGCCAAACAAAAACATCGCATCATTCCATGAAATCCCTGACAGTCAAACTGAGTCAGGTAGGGAGATGCAGACTTCCGGGTTGGGGCCCGCCCTCGGGACTCTAAGAATCAATGGCTGGAGACAATAGGTGACATGGCTCAAAATCGTTGTCAATGGCTTACGCAGATGTATTCAGTCTCTGTAATCTTTCATATTCCTTTCTACTATTACTCATTGTGTTTCACTCTTATACTTGTCAAAACTCTATTGATTCTCTTCACTCATCTTCTTGTCTACCTTTGTGTGCTATTTGGAACGTGGCAACTCGAACTGCTGCACTTCAGTACCAAGTTCTATGTTGAATCCAGACAGACAGACAGACTGGTCATGACATGCGGAAAGTCATGGGCTAGAAACTCAGTGAGTGCGTACTGATAAAAAGTTCCAAACTAGGCTGACAAAACAGCTATCCAGTTCTCCCAGGTTTTCCAATGCTTCTCTAACCGATGTCAACTCATGATGAAATCCTCTAACCAATCAACGAACACTTCAATAGGTAGTAGTAGTAGTAGTAGTAGTAGTAGTAGTAGTAGTAGTAGTAGCAGTAGTAGTAGTAGTAGTAGTAGTAGTAGTAGTAGTAGTAGTAGTAGTAGCAGTAGTAGTAGTAGTAGTAGTAGTAGTAGTAGTAGTAGTAGTAGTAGTAGTTAATGGAGATACCCATAATAAAATTGTGAAAAAACAATATGTAGGTGAATGGTACATTTCTCAGTCTTTGCTCTAATAGACAAAACTTTATAAATAAACATTAACTATAAGCCAATCATGGTGATTTGTCAATAAAACGATAAGATTTTGCGTGTGCATTGCCTAACTAACAGTAAGAATAATAATGATTCTTTTAAAAGTAACTCTATTAATAACGCAAATGACATACCCAGTGGTTTGTAATAATAAGGATTGTGAAAAACCACATGATTATACAAACAAACGTTTAAATGTGTAGACGTAGTAAATAAAAAAAACTAAAAAGATAAACAGGCAGATTACGTAATGCCAAGAAAACAATACTGTTCAAACGCACATATATTGTTCTAAATTTTATTTACCTCAGGAAATCTTTGATGCTAGATTGTCTGTCACAGAGGTAAATAAACCAAGTTTTAATGAAGATGCAGCAAGACTAAGTTAGGGTTGACAAAAATAGTGATAAGAAAGGAATTAAAAGTATATAAGGAAGCAGTGGGAATGGTATCTTTACGTGGTAGTTATCATGTGCATTATAGTACAGAACTGACCATAGTAGTGCAGATATAGTTGTATCATTTGGTTAACTTAATTAGAATACTGCATTTTTATCTGCCTACTATTTTACTTGGGTGCGTACTAGTGAAGAGTCCCAAACTAGGACGAAACGGCTGCCCACTACTCCATGGTTTTCAGTGGTTCTCTAACTGAAATCAATCGGTGATCAAACTTGAAATTACTTTTATCTGTTATATAACACTCTCCAATCTTTGAAGATATAACTTTCATCTTTTGTGTTTCGCTTGATGTGTAGACATACGATTCAGGAACTTAAGCGATTACATAGTAATGCTGGGTACTATATTCATAATGTATCTGCCTATAATCTTCACTTGTAACTAACCCAGTAAGAACAAAAATTTCTTAGTGATGCTCAAATAATTTTCAATTACTAAGGGTAAGCGACCATGAACGGTTGTAAATCCCATCTGAGAAATCAATTATGAAATTATTTGGCTAATAACTAGGCAGTTCATAAAATTAGCTGAAAGTATATTACTTTTCAGAGATAACAAAGGTTGACTCTTATCTATTATGATTTACGATGAAAATGTTCTTTAATCTTTAATACGAGAAACAGAAGAAAATTGACTTGCTGAGAGCAGATTGTTCAAAATCTGACAAGCAAATTCAGAAATGTCAAACTCAATTGAAAAAAGCCGAAGTCATTCTGAGTACTGCCTTATATTACTCCCGACAGAAGTTAGATTCAATGAGTAATGCTGTTAAAAACCCTATTGATGTAGAAGAGCTTATCACATTTTCGCACAGAATAAGTGCTATTCGTGGCGTAATCGCTCCGGATAACTGGACGCAGGGAGATCCCAGGCGGCCGTACCCTAACAAGGAAGAGATCCGACGGGGCTACCTAGGACATATTGATGATGGTGGCAACTTCTGACATTCTCTGTGGGACACTTTGTCAGAAACTGCAGCAGCTGCCGCCTCCATCTCTGTCTCTTCCACACCATCTACCTCCAGTAATTCAGATGCAAACAACTCATCCAGCCAGAATGTCGGATTATCACAAACGCCTGTATATCACTCAAATCAACCCCAGTCCTCAGTATTGCCTTCAGTTACTTGTTCTCCGAATATGATCTTACCCGGCGTCAACATCGTTTCTTCACCGATCTCTATATCACAAGCTGGTACTTCAGCTACATGGGCCGCTTCAAATGTCAATCCTGTTGCAGGGACCTCAGATCTAACTGGTCCTCAAGCCCCATCCTCCCGTCCACCTTCAACTTCACTAGCTACTATGCTGACAGGTGCGAATGTGATGGGGCCAAATTCCCGTAATATGACACTCCCTCCGCCTCCTCTCAAACCTGTAAGCAATCAAGCACAAGCAAGTCAACCAGTATCTTTCCGGCCAAACGGTGCCCCGCCCCAACAACCCAGCACCAACTCTGGAAATTGACAAACATTCCCTACATCCCCAGCTTCTTCCGGATCACAACAAATGCACTACTCACATGGTGATGCACATCCAGGTTGTATGCAGAGTACCGAGCTATCTCGACCGCATACTAAACGTCCTAATCAGAAACACCCTCTAGTGATTCCACCAGTGGTGAAGAATGATTTAAATTAGCTAAAAGTATATTACTTTTCAGAGACAACAAAGGTTAACTCTTATCTCTTATGATTTACGATGAAAATGTTTTTTAATTTTACTTAATTTCAAGATTAAATAAACAAATAGGCAAGGATGTTATATGCATCTCATTTAATGTTCAAGAGCGTTGGTGGAACAGCAGTAGAATGCTCGCTAACCATGCAGGTGGTCCGGGGTTCGATCTGCGGCCAACACACTCCCATACCTCACTAAGTCAGTAATAAGACTGGTAAAGAGGGAAGGTTGAACATGAGGCTAGCAACCCCATCCCCTAAACGTGACCACCACTGCTACCGAAACTACAGACATCGATCTTGAAGCCTCATGTTCCACTGGGAACGTGAGGGAATAAGAAATGTTCAATAACTCAATATCTCGTCTTCATCAGTTCGCTTTTTTAATTAAATTTTGTACAACGTATAATTTTCAAAATCTATTTATTATTATATTTATTGTATTTTAGGATTTGAATAAAGCACTTACAAATCTTATTAAACAATTAGAGGATAATTCATATCGATTTAATCAACTTTCTGTTATAGAACAATCAGGAAAGACAAATTTATCAAAAACATTTGAAAAGTCAACTGATAAACAAAATACTTTAAAATCTTTATGGGAATCATTAGCATTTTTAGATGAACCAGAAAAACCATTGAATGAATTTGTTGAAGATCGAGCAACATCATCTATATCAGAGTCATCACAGTCTTTAAGAGTTTGTGAAAACTCAGGGAAACAGATAAATGCAAATATTGAACAAATTAAAACTACTGGTTGGGAACAATTGGATTTAGCCTTGATATGGCATTTAAATTATACTACACGCTTACTTGATAGAGTTTATCCTGATCATATTTATGAAAATAATTCACAAACATTATACTCTTCCGATGCATATATTCTTGATGTTTCTGAAAAGCTGGTTAGTAATAATGGATGCAATGAAGCGCCAAATTTAATGCTTAAATCAATACATTCAGCATGGTCTGCACTTGCCTTATCAGAACAGGTAAGTAATAATATATGTGTAAAACTTGGGCAGTGTGGCAGTGAGCGATTCCCTATTAGTTTGTTTATTAGATGTATCACACAGTGAAACAGTATTAGTATTTACTGGATGACGTTTCGAACAACATTTATTGTTCATAATCATCCCATCAATTATAATCACACGACTTAGAAACTTGAGTTTTATAGTTTTCTTTGTCTTCTCCTATTTGTCGTATGAGTAGTAGAATTTTCCAGATACCTGGGACAGGTGTTGAATCATACCTATTACAAGTATTTGCAGATACATAGGCCAAAGTAGTAGAACAGGGGCAGTCAGACTAACCGAGCATAAAAACCTAGTAAAATCTAGATTAGTTGACCCAAATAACATAAGAAATCTAGAGAATAGTTCAACCATAGCACTTACTACATGCACTTACGCACAACCATACAATGGGATGGGATAGGATGGCAGTTTTAAAATCTAATGTCACAGGGTGTAGGGAGGGAGAGATTGATAACAGAAGCTTTGTTTATCGGATCAACTGCAAATACATGTAATAGGAATGATTCAACACCTGTCCCAGACGGATATCTGGAAAATCCTACTACCCCTACGACAAATAGAAGAGAACGAACAAAACTATAAAACTCAAGTTTCAAAGTCGTGTGATTATAATTGATGAAATGATTATGAAAAATAAATTCTGTTCGAAACGTCATCCAGTAAATACTAATACTGTTTCACTGTGTGATACATCTAATAAACAAACTAATATGGAATAACATTATAATTATTGTTATGAGTTGATATCATGAAAAATAATTTGCTGTCAGTTGGACGGTTAATTGTAACCAGGCCTAGAATGACTAATACTGTTGAAAGACATGGCACAGAACTTCCACAGATTTCTTGGATTCTCCGGTTCCTAAAAGGATTACTGACTTTAATTTCATCTAAACACTTATTGATTTAAGTGTTTTATGAATACATTATGTTAGCTGTAAAAAAAGGAATGTGGGAAACAGTGAAACATATCAGCCTTCATAAAAAGATAATTAAAATGTAAAGATAAAGATGGATCGAAACGTGTTGCTAAGAATTGGGTGAGTAAAGTGGAGATTCCTTGATGCAAAGAAACATCGGATGAGATTAAGCGAATCCTTAACAGTCATGATATAAGAATGTACTTTCGTACAACTAACACCTTACGCTCATCACTGGTGAAGGTTAAAGGTAAAACAGAAGAAAACCAACAGAATTGTGTGTACCAGATCAATTATGGGGACTGTGACGCCGTATAAGTAGGAGAAACTTTCAGACAGGTAAATATAAGAGTGAAACAACATAAACCGTGTATAAAGGTGGTTCCAAAGACCTATGCAGACTTAAAGAAGCACTGCATTTGATGGAAACGGGACACCAAATTGACTTTGATAGGACTAAGGTCCTACAGAAAGGTTTTGGTTCGTATAAAGAAAGACTGACTGCGGAAGCCCTACATATATGGATGAATCCCAACAGTTTGAACAGACGTGAAGGTGTGATGTTAGCTGTTGCGTGGCAAATCCTGATTAATAAATATAAAAAACTGGATATATATGACTAATTAATCGTACTTGGTCTAAATTCCCGATTGTCTATATCTTCTTATGGAGAGGCTAACAAATGATATACAACTGTTTATCCATACACACATACACTACACTATTGATTTCTGGATATACACATATATTTTCATATTCAGTTATCTACGACCATGAACTTTTAGTCGAACGTGATCACTAAAATTCTGATGAAAAGCACACTCTGTTTAAAGTGTTAAACAAAAGTCTGAGGTCAAATTCTGATCACAGCTCGTACGATTTGTTTATTATATTTTGATGACTGTTTCAGGACTCATATGATTGGACGATGTTTTTTTTAAAACAAGAGATGTCTTTTTTATAATGTACACCTTGGCTTTATTTCGATAAATTTCCCTGAAGAAGTTCGGACCAGTTTGCCGAACAAAACGTTGGAATTACTCATTTCAATTTCTTTGAGATTTTACAAATGTCTACTTCTTACTCGACGCCCAATTATTTTGGAACTATTCGGTTAAATCTTGATCACAGTTCATATGAATATCAGTGAGCTATTAGACTATTGATTGAAATCAGTCATAATATGTGTTCTTTTCATGCTACAAAATGTACGGTAGAAATCCAGTTTTTCGACTGCATACTTATATGCGAAGCTATCCCTATAACAGATTGCATAACGCTGAGTTTACACATTGGTTAGACTTCCTCAAAACGTTTGGATTTGACATTGTCGGTGATATCTAAAAAAAGAAATCTTATGGTCGTGAACAAAAAGAAATTCGAGACACGTTTATTGACCACATCTTTGAAGACGGTTGATAGAACCTAGTGAATAAAAAGCAAAATAACTATATATATATATATATTCCTAGTGGAATATACAGCTCTTCAGTGGTACATTTCCATTTTCACCCTGTTTTCTGCAGTCATCCACGATTGCCCATAAGCTCACGTCTCATCCTGACAGGATCTCCTTTATATCTACCTCGAACTTCAGCCCAACTCGTTGTTTCCCATTCGGGATCCATTCTAGGGCTTGACATGTGATGTCACTCAACAGTCTCCTCAGCGTATGTCCAATCCATCTTCATCTCTCCATACTGGCTGGTTAGCTCACAGAGTTCTTTTCTGCTTATCTTTTCTAACCATCCATCTGATCTTCAGTATTGAGCAAAGGCAACTAAGGATAAAAGTTTCCAGCCTGTTGGAAATGCATTTCGTGATTGCGGACGTCGAATGTCTAAAACAATACAGAACCAGTGACTTGACTTTAGTGGTGAAATCCAAATCTTGTTTCCTATGCTGAGTGCAGTATATTTCTACACTGATTTGACATTCATGAAGGCCTATCTTGCTTTTCCGATTGTGACTTTGATATCCTTATCCATGCCAGAGTTTTCAGTTGAAACAACTCTGGTTAATAGTTGATTTTTTGCCCCTATTATAATATCATTTACTGATTAGCAAGTCAATTTGAATTAGCTGCTTACAAAAAAACGAAATCAGAAAACTAAACACTGATAAGAAATTCATGTCAATCAGGAATTCAAATGAATTAAGAGGACAACAAATAGCTTTAAAAACGGTAGTCATGTATAATTATATACTTCGTCACAGAATATATGTTTTACATTGTGCAGTAATAAACAGATTGGAAATCCAAACTGTTAGTACACTGATTTCATACTTTATTTGAAAATGATAGAGACAGTTTTTTTTATGGAGAGGAATTCCCATTGAGACATATAGAAAATCAAAATAAGTGATTCAGGGAAGAGACTGTTCCAACGAATTTATTATCAAGCTGTACAATCGTATATATAGGTATATTATTTCCTTTAATTCCTAGAGGAACATAGGACTTCAGCCGCGCGTCTCCATTGCATTCGGTTCTCTGCCAACGTTTTCACCTGGCTCCAGGACTGCCCACATGCTTTCATCTCCACTTCACATGACCTCCTCCAAGTTACCCTTGCACTGACGACCAACTCGCCGCTTCCCTTTCGGCCAAGTTCCACTCGAGCAATGGCTTGTCTAGTGATGTCACTTGATGGCTTCCTCAGAGTATGGCCAATCCATCTCCATTTCTTCCTACCTATTTGTTTCACAATCGGTTCCTCGTTGGTTCGCTCCCAGAGATCTCTATTGCTGATCTTTTCTGGCCATCTGATCTTGAGTATTGAGCAAAGACAGCTATTGATGAAGGTCTGTAGTTTGTTTGAGATGCTCTTTATGACGCGCTAAGTCTCTGATCCGTATAGTAGCACTGACTTCACATTGGAGTTGGAAATCCGGATCTTATTTTCATGCTGAGTGTTGAGTGCTGTTGACCTCCACACAGACTTGAGAGTAGTGAAAGCTTGTTTTGCTTTTCCGATCCTTACTTTGATATCCTCATCAGTTCCGCCTGTAGTTAAAACGATGCTTCCCAGGTAGGTAAAGGAGGTTGTTTCTTTCAGGTTTCTCCCATTTATGCTTATTGTTGTCTGTTGTTGTTGCTGCTGTTGGTGTTGGCCAGGAATTTTCATCACCTCTGTTTTCTCTATGTTCACCTGGAGTCCTATCTTTGATGCTTCTTCTGCTAACTTGTTGCTTTTCACTTGCATATCTTCCAGTTTGTGGGAAATCAGACATATATTATCCACGAAGTCCAGATCCTCCAAGTTTTTCGTTAGGGTCCATTTTATGCCTGTTTCCTCATTCCCCGCTGTCTGTCGCATTATTCAATCTACTGCAATCAGGAAAATCATTGGCGATAGTAGGCAGCCTTGTCTTACACCCGTCTTCACTTCGAAGGATTCCGTAAGTTTCCCGTTGTGGATTACTTGGCATGCATATATATATATATATATACAAATATGATTTTTAAGAAATTATATCCAGTGTGGCAATTGAATTATAGGTAAGGAAACATAAAATAATCATAATAGTAGTATGAAGTGCAATTAAAATGTTTGTGATTCTAATCATGTTTAAATGTGAAGTGCCGAAACAATTAATATCACATTTATAGAAGAATTCATAGGATGCATAGATAGAACTTGGAGGGGATGAGAAATTATCGGATTAGTAGGCGAATAGAATAAAAATAAAACCTTTACACAAATTTGGTAACATAGAATTTAAAGTTGCGAAACAACGTTTTTTTAGAGTGACAAGTGGAACAAATGAAATAATACCAAGGACAGTTCAAAGTGAGAATAGTAATAGTAACAATTGACGTAATGAAGGAAGAGTATACAAATTGAATAATCAAAACGAAACAATTGGTAGAGCCAAAATATGATTAGGGATTATCATACTTTAGCATAGAGAGATTAAGACCATGAAAGTTGGAGGGGTTGAAGGAACTCCTTCTCTCTCTGGCTTTTCTATTTCGATAACCACAGCTTCAGCAATACAGATGAGTCGAGTACTCAGTGATTTGGGCAA